GACTTCGGAACCCGCCTAGTACCTCCGGAAACCCCCCTTGTACTCACTTCGGACCATCGCAGGATGTACCCTTCCCTCCGGAATTTGATGTAGAGCTTCGGAAATTACACTATGACTCCGGATTTCACCTTATGACTCCAGATTTTCTTCAATTTCGGACTTTTTAGTGTTTTCAAGTAATTTTTGCTCCGGAAATTTCCTCAGACATTTATTTTTATAATTTTAAACACTCCAAACTTATATTTTTTATATATAAGACCCTATATTATCATATTTTAAACCATATTTTGGGAAAGGATCGTAAACCAAGGACAATATCTATTGGGTGAGATATTGTGTTAAAGTGTTGATTTCCCTTAGAGTGTGACACAAGTTATCCCCCATACCCACTTAGGACAACCCCCAGTCACTATTCACCCCTACCTAGTCAACTATTTGTCCTCTCACATCTCTCCTCCAGCTGGTAACTTGATCAAAAGTTGGAAACTCCTATCTCTCCTTCCACTTTACTCACACTCTCACCAAGAAACAAACACTTCTCTCTCTTTTCCCTCTCTAAGAACTCGAGACTGCAAGGCTGCCTTTGAACTTCTCACCCTCATTCAGTAAGTATTCTCATCCTACATTGAACATTCTTTACTCCTTCACTCAACTTATGAATCTCTCATAACCAATGTCACCATAATTGTTCTTAGATCTTCAACTCTCCAAGCTTCTATCAAGTGTTCTTGACTTAGAAACCCTTTCTCTTCAGCATACATCTAAGGAAATCACTCAAGGTGAGTTCATACCCCTATCTCTTCACGTTTTTCTTAAGTTTTAAGGGGGGAATACAAGTTAAAACACCAAGAACACAACTAAACTCATCCAACAGCTTTCATCAGAAAAGTTTAACTCCATTCACGGACTGTTTTGGTCAATTTAAACATCTTAGTTTTCAAAACTGTTTTAGGTGCAATTATTTCAGGTTCATACCATTAAAATGACTACTTTCACATCCCCATACGATTTTTCTACAATTTATGATGATTTTTACAAAACTGCATATCACTGTAGCTACGATTTTGGACCAGTCTGTGAATATGAACGTGTTCACACCAGATCTAGACTTTTAAAAATCACAATAAAATTTATGGACAAACTAGACACATTTTCTAAACTATCAGAGTTTACGGATTTAGTTTTAGATTCCGTATAATGTTTCTATAATTATTCCAAGAACATGAACAAGAAAGATAACACTAGTAAATTATTGATAACTCATTTACACCTTGTAACTTGCTGAGCAAGGTGTGTATTATCATATATAAATATATGTTGGTTATATTGCATGTCTTTTATCTCTTTACAGAGGTTTACATCATATGTAAAAAGGATTTCTACCATTACATAACGTTTATGATAAACTTTGGTAAATATAGTTTATGTTTCATATACATTATAATCATGTTTCCATTAACACAACAAACACATTTCGGAAGGTTCTATTCCCATGGAAAAAGGTTTTACACTCATGCACACTACACGTAAACTTGTTAACGTAAATTGTGAGACATTCTTCTCAGTACTCCTAGAGTACATGTTAAAATTCCTGGTAGTTATAACCAGAGTCTCTTGTAGGGAGAACGTGATAGTTGTGTATAGATCTATATTGGGTCTGACAAACCCACACCTGAGCTGCATGCAACAGTTAGACCGACAGGTCTGAGGTGACAAGTGTCATTATCTTTTTCGACGCCTGAGAAACGTCGTGGCAGGTTCATTAGTCATAGTATGGTTATAGCGACTCACATAGGAAGTTAACAACACATAAAGTTTACGGGGATTTTCTCAAATCAAAAAGGGTTTTACGTCGATTTAAAATCACCTTTTATATCAATAAGTATGGATATTACTTGTACATTTCGGTCTTGGTATTTAAGACTACACAACACTCTTGTAAGGAAAATATTGGATTTTTCTTGGTAACACACAACTCATTATAAAGATCGGTTTCCAAACTCTTCATCTAAAAAGCTTATGAACTCACCAACTTAATTATTGACACTTTTTCAAAACTACTTGTATTCTCAGGAAATCAACGAAACCAGGTAACCACAAGCTTTTGAGGATGGAACGCTACGGCGTTGAACAACTATTTTTATATCATGTTGTAATCAATCATTGAAATATGTAACACTTGAAACCATGTAATTCTTTTCTGATTATATTTATGATTGGTTGTATTTACTTTGAGCACTATTATACTCATTGTTGTGATACTATACATGAAGTCCGCCACCCCCGGACGTTTCCGCCATCCTTGGTTTGGGGGTGTGACACTAATGACCCTTTAAATAGGGTGCAAAACCCCAAAAATTAAGGTTTCATCCTCCATCTCCAACTTGTCGAGTCACGCCTCTGATTCGGCGAGTTGGTCACTTAAACACAGGGCCAAAAACGTTCCTACTCGACGAGTCAGGGCATCCAACTCCTCGAGTAGACCTTCCGATATGAAAATAAAGCTGTAAAATTAATACCTGAGAGTCGGGGCGTTACATATATTGATTTAGGGATTGGAATGAACATTAGAATCTTCCATTCCAAATGTAATCAACAACATTCTTTTAGACAAAAAAAACATTTAACCCATCAAGACACAACTACAGTCACTACAAATTGGCATTAATTCTCACAAAGTCACATTGCTAAAACATAAAGACTACGTCATCAGTATCACTACAAACATAACAAAAAAGGGGATGATGCAATACTTGTGAATCCACAAATTCCTTCTCATATGTTCCAATGCCTTATTTGTCTTCACTTTGTAAACATTAAAACAAAGTTCATTCCAAACATTCCAAGCCCAATGTTTCTTTGTAGAACTTGTCATCTTTAGTTGGACATTAAAGATTGAGAAGAAGAAGAAGAAGAAGAAGAAGAAGAAGCCATGACAAAAGATCGAAAACAAACATCGTTCATTTTGCTCTTCTCCAAGCCGTAAATCGATATATATAAAGGGCAATTCTAATCTGTTTATTCCATGTCAATACATATAATGCCAGGTCATTTGCCAAATAATTTTATACCTAATGAATCCGGTTGCCTCTAATGAGAATTGAACAAAAATATGAGTTCGTTTGGGTTTTTTTTAGACAAAAGGTTGAGTTCGTTGGGTATTTTTAGTAGTTAAAACATGATTGAGGTTTTTTGAACGGTTTGGAAAGTTTGTTGGTCTTAGAAGTCATTTTCCCAATATTTAATTCCACATCATATGTTTCTCTTCGTTGACTTCCATTAGCCAATAAAGTATTCTGTGGCTTCCACAAATGCCGCTTGACCTTAATGAGAACTGATCAATTGAACAAAAGCGTAATTTAGTTGGATTTTTTTAGACAAAAGGTTACGTTTGTTGAGTTTTCTTGAAAAGACAAAACATGATTGATGTTTTTTAAAGATTTGAAAACTTTGTTGGGCTTTGTAAGTCATTTTCCCTAAAAAAATTGGTGGTAAAATGGATTAAATGAAAAAGTCAAATCCCCAACCACATCCCAACCACCAAGACCTTTCTCTCTCTTCTCGCTACATGGCCGACGAGTCTCATCCAACGAGCCCCATAGTGCGTGCCAGGGGCGATATTCAACGCAAGTGGAAAGCGATAACGACCTCCGCCTAACGTCCCATTTCGTCCAGCCTAAGACAACATTGGCTGACACACTGACATACACTGACATAGATCTACCATCTAAGTGGTAATCTATTAAAATTTAAATGTCATATATTAATAAAGTATTTCAACTAGCCAGTGGAATCTGATGTTGCCATTCGTCCTTAAGGTCAAGGATTCAAGTCCTATAGTGGACATAAGTGGAATAACTTAGGACTAGTTTAGTATATTCGCCGTTTAAAAAAGGGATAAAACCATTAAAATATATATAGATATTAGGGTTTTATGCAAGGTTCTAGAAAGCTCGGCATGGCTCCGCCATGGCGAGCCATGACTCTAAGGCTTGTACCTACCGCCGAGCTTTACCAAAGCGCCGTCTTAACTCATATATGTGTATAAAATAGAATAATAGTTGAATATACATATAAAAATAAGAATTATATACAAAATTGTCGCCTTATGTCACGTCTTACAAACGACGTGGCTCATCAAGACTCGAAAAAGCTTGAGGCTTGACATTGCAGTCATGCAACGCCTTAAGATTATTTAGAACTTGTTTTTCTGCGGGGAGTTGTTTGATTTACGGGGTTACCTTTTTGAATCGACCGAGCCTGATACCACCAAATTTAGCAATGCCTTCCTAGCTCCAGCGCCTTTCTCTTCTGGCGCCACCCTCCTCCAGTAAGCTTCTTTTCTTCCTTTCTGAAACCGTTTTTCTCTCTTGTGAAGAGGGTGTTTGGGATTGCTTTAAAAACAACTTTTGGACTTTTCACTTTTCCAAAAAGTTCAAAAGATTTTTAAAAAGTTGAAAATTTCTTTTTAAAACAACTTTTGAGCAAAGGAAAAAAGTTTGATTCTAAAAGTTATAAAATTGTGACTTTTGTGACTTTTAAAAACAATTTTTGTCTTTTGTCCATCCAAACACATTTTAAACCACTGTTTTTGAAAAAAAAAAAAAAAAGACATTTTACAAAAAGTTCTTTTATGAAAAGACTTTAAAGCTAAAAAAAAGTTATCCCAAACACCCCCTAACTTGAAATTGAAATCGTTTTTCTCCTCTGTGAAATTGAAATGGACATCGCAGCATCAGAGTCTATGAACTTGAAATCGATTCGCTGAAATTATGAAACTTCGTTGATGAAATTGGTGTTATACATCTAAAATCAAAGATATATTTGACAAATACAATACAAATTACATGAACTTGAACTCGTTTCTAAAATTTTTGTCGATTCAATGATCACATTTACTGGAGGAACTACATCTAAAAATTTAAAACATGCAATAGGTAAATAAAAGGATGACATTACCCTTTAGTTGAATTTTTGATATTGGTGCTAAAAGATTCTCAATGGTTGCAACTGTTGCAACGTTAAAAGTAAGCATCAAGGTTTCCAAATGCTGCGATGAGTGTAAAACAAACACATTCAAGTACAAAAGCCCATGTTGCTCCCTACGCTCTTGCAGTCACCCTTGTGTCAAAGCTTACAAGAAACGCGTTGGATGCTCAGGCAAAAGACAACAGCACACAGACTTCGTTCCTCTTTCAAAATTTGATGACAATCTCCTTCTCTCTGGTAATTTGATGACAATTCTTCAAATTCAGTTTCTACTTATTATTAGTAATTAAGGTTCCGAACTTCAAAATTAGTTTCTACTATATTGATGTTTGAATTTCTTTAGATTCTGGTAAATTTCCTAATTTTGAATTCAGATGATTTAACTTATGACTATAATGTTAGATTATAGTATGTTGGAAGGTGTGAAGAGAATAGCTGATTCTGCTAAGAGAATGAGAGTACATATATTTGGGAAACACCAATACTTTTATGGGCTTAAACAATTGTTGAAAGCTGCTAGGAGTCGGAGGATTAGACATTTTTTCTTGCCAAATGCCATGTCAAAGAGGGAATTCAATAAGACATGCTACAACCACATGTAATTTTTTTTAATTTTTAATTTTTATTTTTATTTATTTTTACAATCGATCTGATTTTCATTTGGGAAATAATAATAATATAACAATCATTGTGATTATGTTTCCCAAAACAAATCTATCTCTTGGACAATAGAATGCCACTTTCATTCAACTAATGTTAAGTTAATTGACCATGGGTAAGTTTTCGTTACTATTAATAACTAGATGTTTAAAAATATTATTTCTCTTGTCAATTTAGAATTACTTGTGTTGTTTCAGTGTACATGAAGATTCAAATCTTTACTCATTTATTGAGAAGCATATAAAACCTGGTCCAATAAATCATCCATTGAAGCCGTTTTGTCTTGAATCTCTAAGAACTTTTATTAGTAAAAACCCAAAGGTATTTGTAAAAATTCAATAAACCAATATAATGGTTACAAGTGCTTTACTTTATTCAGTGATATATTATGATTATCTTTAATGTTTGGAAAAATGCTTTTTTGGGTAAATGTAGCAACCAAGATCAACATTTCGTGAGTTGGACAAAAACGCCCCCATACGAGAACAGTTAGCCAATTTAGTGATGGTAGAGTACCCTGTGATTCATGTTTTTCTTGCTTCACATATCCGTGATTTTCAAGTTGTTAAAGACATTGTTCCAAGTTTTAAGTGGGCCCCAGTCACGAAAGAGCGCAGGAAAGAAGACGGAATGATACATATTAACTTAGATCATATAATATATATTTGTTTAAAGGTAATCTTTAGAAAAGTCCAAATATTTTGGTTATTGGTAAAAAATAATGAAAAAGCCCTAAAATTTTGATTAATTAATGAAAAAACACAAAAATTTGGATCAATTAACAAAAAAAGACGAGATACCGGCTAAATCTGTGAAACAGGCCACATAGGGTTATTCCGAAGTTTTAGCCGGTAATCTGTCATTTTTTATAAACAAAATTTAATTTGGGACTAAATCGTAAACTTGTCTAAAATATTAAGACGTTATTGGAGATTATTTTGGGAAAAATATATTTTTATATACATTAAATGTGTTCACTTTTGTTTTGTTTAAGTTAGAATCACTTTAGTAGTAGTAGCAGAGGACACCTATAGACTGCTATGGTCTATAATACCCTTTCATATCTTTTTTTATTCAACTATTCTATAAAATTCATATTTTTTTTAAATAGAATCTACATATTTCTAGCAACATAAGATATATGGCTTTGAATAAGGTAATACTAGTAAGTAGTAACTAATAAGCTCGAACAGAGGCCATGTATTATTTATTATTTTTTTAATTTTACACATACCGTATGGTTGGTACTTGCTAAATTGGTTATCTTTTTTTCAAGACAAAGTTTGTAAAAACAGTTTTTGTAGTTGTCAAAATTATATGATTTTAGTTTAAATTTTTTTTGGCGGATGCACGTGGTTCAATTTTAGATCTTTTTGATAATTTTGGTCTCTATACACTTAAAAGGTGATTATGCCCTTATAATTTATAATTTTTCATTTAATTTAAATGTTGAAATACATAAATTAATTTAATTTATCTTTTTTTTTTTAACTTTAAACAATAAATAAATAAAAGCAAATAACCCAATCCCCCACCCCCTCTTGTCTTTATGGGAGGAGAGAAGCCCCCTTCATCACTAGCTCCACCCTCCAACACCGGTATTTGGAACCACCGTCGGTAACCACCATTCTCGCCGGAGTTCACCTAGATCGCCACCATGACCACATATATCACAGATTTGGTTGCCATACTCCCCATACTCCCCATCCCTACCATCCTCTCTCCTCCAGTCTCGTCGAAATCAAACCCCTTACCCCCATTAAAACCACCACAACTACCCGTTGCTCCATATGCAATCACCGCCGAATCTCACCAGCATTAAAACCACCATCAACTATCTTACCTGTTACACCACAAAATGTCATCCTTATGCCACCAAATTACATCCATAGATGAAACAACCTTCATCACCTCCACAACCTCTATCACTAGTTGTTACAACCTCATGCACCACCATAAACTTTCATCAACCTACCGAAAACACTCCTTTAACCGTCGAGCGTCACCTCAACCGAAAACCACAATAGAGAAACACCTCATCGAGCCTCCTACAAACAACGCCAGTGGGGTTATAAACGGATTTGTGCGGATCTGAGCAAACCTATGAGAGAGAAGGAGGGACAAGTGGCGACGAGGGTCGGTGACGGCAGGTGCAGTCTGGCAACGATGGATGTCCGCCAATGGTGGGTTTTAACAGGATTCGACTGAGGTAGCGTGCGACGACGATTAGACCGATTCTCCTGTTGTTGAGCCACCTCCTCCTTCGGTCTCGTAGATACTATGGAGAAGATAGAAAAAAGGTGGGTTTTTTTTTGTACTTTCCATGACACATCCGACATGTGGTGGTGGTTTGATAACAGTGGTGGTGTTGGGTAGGTGGCGGTGGTCTGACAAGTAGTGTGTCTGGAAACAAACAAAGAATTACGTCCAACTCACGTGAAAACGAAAAACACGATCGTGTTTCTCATAAACACGATCATGTAAAGGGTTTGAAGAAATTTTATGACGAAATTATGCATTTTGGGGCTTTTGGGAAAAAACACAATTATAAAAACGATCGTGTTTTTTATTGTACTTCTCGTACGCGATATTTTTCGACATGCAAATCCTCGAAGGACAAACACGATTGTGTTTCTCAAGAAAGCATGATCAGAGACGACTTTTGAAGGCGATTTCTACACTTTTTCTATTTTTAATCCTTGAAGGAAAAACACGATCGTGTTTTTTTTAGCATATGATATTGTCGGCTTCCATATAAATACCTCTTGTCTAATCAGTTTAAACCCTAGACGTTCCCATACAATCAAAGACGACTTTTGAAGGCGATTTCTGCACTTTTTCATATTTTCTAAAGATCTGAAGGTTGTGGATCATCTCTTTTATTTAGTCTAGTAAGATTTAGCTATTTAATGTCTCTTTTTTATTGTTCTATATTAGATTTTAGCCATGTATGGCTAAACTTTAGATTTCAGTTCTACAAGATTAATATTTTTTATGTAATCAATCATTAGATCTGGTTTTTAGTTTGTGATTCTATCTGAGATATTTCAGTTTTGATCTTAATAAATGTTTGATTTTAGTTTTTTTTAGCCTGATCACCTAATTAATAACTAAATCAATTTGGTCCAAAAAGAAGGGGATATATGGAAAGGAAATGATTACCTAGTGCTTATTTACAAATGCAAAAAGGAAGGAGAGGTGAATGAGAGGGGAACGTAGAGGTGAACATACACCTGTGATCATGACTCATGAGGAAGGCTGAAGCATAAAACCGAAAGATTCCTACGATTTAGGAAGGGCATTATGGTCCATTAAGTTCTTTCTTTTCAACTATAATGATTTTAAAATGTAAAAAAAGGCACTACAAGGAAATGAGCAATTAGCGACGACAAAAGTCGCCGGTAAAGGGTCGAGAAGTCGCCGCTAAAGCTAATAGCGGCGACACGTCGCCGCTAAAGAGTCGCCGCTACTGCTTCGTCGCTATTGATCAGATTGTCGCTGTTAAAGACAAATGTCACCGCTAATGCCCCTGTCGCCGCTAATACTTCGTGTCACCGCTAAAGAGATTGTCTCCGGCAATACTCATGTCGTCGGTAATAGTGTCGCCGGTAATAACGTTTTTCATTTTTTTTTATATTTGTGATTTTGGGTATAATTTATTCCAAATACTGTTATAATTAATTCTATACGAAAAATTACACAACAACATCAAATTAAATACCAAATACTCTTATAATTAATTTAATACCAAAATAAAACAACCAAAAGTTTGATAATTCTAAATAGTAGCAATGTAAGTTTTACAATTCTAACAAATAGCAAAGTGTGACAAGTATAACATACAAATAAAGTTCCTCCCTACATATCATCATCTTCGTTCCCATCATTTCCTCCTTGATTATTCTGTGATTGAAAAAACGAATAAAGCTCCTCCCTACATGCTGGGTCGTTGAGCAATGGTCGAAGATTTTTTTCCAACTACATAATAAATAACAACATATATAAATTATAAGTTAAATTTTCCAACTAGGGACAAAAACACAATTACCAAATCCACATGCATTTTATGACGCCAAAGTACATTGCTATTTTTAAACCAAGACAAAAATGCCAAGTACATTGTTATTTCTTGCATATGGGACAAAAACTCATATACCACATACACAACAAACACACATACATTCACATACATACATAATAACATCCTACTTATACCAAATACACATAATTTCACATATATATAGATAATAACATCATACTTATACCAAATACTCATATACCACATATACATCAAACACACATACTTGTGATGATGAAATTAACAAAAATGGTCCAGTGGTGGGGGTAGTCGCTGGTGGTGGTTAGGAACATAATCAACAAAACTGAAATAGACAATTTTTTGCAATCAATCACTACAATAAGCTTAAAATCGATGTTATAACAGAAAAGGGACCGGAAATTGACCTGGAAACACCTCTCAGTCGCCGGAAAAAGGTCAGTGTCGCCGGAAAAATAGACCTCACCGGAAAATGGCTCTCTCCGCCGGTATCTTCTTTGTGGCCGATTTTACACAGTCACCGGAAAGTAAGTAATGCCTATCACTCACTTACTTGACGACTTAATTGAGGAATCGTTGATCTATGCCGAAGAGAAAAAACAGCAGCGAATGGAGAGTAACAGAACAACAAAAGGAAAAAACGATGAATTTTTGGGGTTAACTGCGTCGACCTTTAGCGGCGACACCTTTACCGGCGACTAATTCAGCTTTAGCGGCGACTATACGTCTTTAGCAGCGACTCTCCGGAGGGAATTATTACCGCGTCATTTTTCGATCTTTAGCGGCGACACCTGCAGGTCTTTACCGGCGACGCAAGTCGCCGGTATTGAGTTTATGCGTTCCAAGACCACTCTAGCCGTTGGATTAGAACCACGATCGGACGATTCGTGTTTACCAGAACGTCAAAACGCGGATCGATGTCTTTCAGCCTTTAGCGGTGACACCAATAACAGCGACACGGAGCTTTAGCGTCAACTTTTTAATATGTCGCCGCTATTAATGTCGCCGCTAAAGGCTAAATTTCTTGTAGGGAGGGATTATTAAATAATAAAAACTATTTAAAAAAACAATTTGGGCAAATCTAATATTTTAAAAATTAAGCAGAAAAAATATGATATTTAGTGTTTAGGCAGGAAAAATATAATATACAGACGTTTAATAAAAATATATATGAAATTCTCCTTAAAATAAAAATCTTTTGAAACATATATGAAAGAGACTTTAATGCCGCCTCTTATCATATCAATGTATTTAAGCTTTGATTTAGCGTTTCCTTTTCTCCCCTTATTTATCACTTAACAAAATTAAGTCTTTTTTTCTTTTCTTTTAAATCAAACCACTATGTTAAGACTGTCGTCCTAGATTATTTTTCTTATTTGTCACTTTGAATATAAAATCTAACAAAAATAAATATTTTTTTATCCATAAAACCCATTAACTATATATATCATATTATTGTACAAAGAAAATAAATTTCAAATAAATATATATCAAATCATTTCCGAACAAATATATTCAAATCACACCGACATTAAAAAAAAAGATTTAACGATATAACATTCATCATATTCAAATTTCATATCACCACTTAAGAATTTGGAACTATCCATAATTGTATCTTCTTTTTATTTTGGAGTTTATAAACTATAATGCAAATACACACCAAATATATCATTTTTAATGGTTCTTCACCTGAAGTAGAAAATAGAACTTTTTTTTTTGAACCAACAAATTTTATTAAAAGAATGGAAAGAAGAACTCAAACCCCCAACATGTAGCCAAGTAGTAAGAGGGAGAAATGTACAGATACACCCGTTTTAGACTCCAATGTTTCTAAACTCAGCCGTGAGCTATGATCTCCTAATAAAACATTAGACCATAGGCCCTAACATGTTAATACAAAGACACTATACTACACCAATGGGTTAATACACCATTGTGTGCAGTGGAATGCTCCTTCTTTGCTTCTATTTTTGAACCACAAGAACACTGACGCTTTGATGATATCCGCCACCTTTGTAGGTGTGAGCCTCTTCTTATTGAAAGTTCGTTCATTTTGCGTTTTCCACAAACTCCAACACGAACCATAGCAAATTCCCAGAAGGATTTTTTTTTGGATAGTTTCCCCAAGATGTAGCATATTTCAACATCTGCTTTAAATTATCACATTGTGGTACTCCTAGACCACACCATCTAAAAATCCATTCCCATATGACCTTTGCAAATGAACATTTCCATAACAGATGATCATTGAAGAATGAAAACAATGTGTTTCTCGGCATTGTCAATCGCAATTGGTGGGTATAACATGTAATTGCTTAACGATAATAATATCAATAATAAACTTATAAATTAAAACTAAAAATGTAGAAGAAAAAAGTATCAAGGAATTAATAAATTAAAAATATATTTGTGATAGAGGTGTTTTTAGTGTACGGTTAGAATGAAAATAATAACTAGTTTGAAAAGTTACTCAATTTTAGCATTTTTATAGTGAAATTAGAGCTGCTCTTAATAGGTTCCATGGATATAAAAGAAAAAAAATAATTTTTTGTTAGATTTTATGTTCAAGTGATGAATAGAAACGAAAAAAAAAAAACTCATGTAAATAGATTGATGGATGAGAGACATTAGTTGGTTTATTATAAATAAGAAAACAATTTAATTTTGATAAATAAAAACAGGGAAACAAAACGTTTAAATATATTACTCTTAATTTTTTTTTTTCTAAGTTTAAAATAAAGGCAAAAGGTCAAAAGAATTTTATTTTAAGTGGAATGATCAAATTAAACAAGAGATTTTCTAATATGAGTATAATAAACATTAATTATAGAAAATATTACAATAATTAAACTTAAAATACATTAATTATAAATAATATTTTTTTATCATTAATACATTTTATATTTTTCAATAAAAAATATTCTCTATAATTAATAAATTTCATATTTAATTATGATGAAATTTCTCATAATTAATATTTTTTATGTGTTAACTTATTAGAAAATCCCGATTAACGATTTGAAATATCATCTCCCATAAAAAATACTATTATGTCCATTTAATAAGCGCATGTTTTGTAAAATCCTTTGGATAAAGACAAGTTTTGTGAATAATTAACCGGAGCGTATTTAAACATGGTGGATAAGTAAATCAAATAGTGTTTGAATTATAGTCAAAATAGTTTATGTTTCCTTTATTTTAGGCAAAATTTGTTCTTTTATTTAAAGATTTATCGTGTTTTTTAACTGAGTTGCTTGATATTTCCCTCTTCTACATCCTACTTTTTCCTACAACTGGTGAATCGTAATGACGATAGTAACAAAAATTTTAACTGCTCCCATGTTTTACTTGCTTTTCACCATCACGAAAGAGTGGAAATCTCCGATGATCCAAGCCGATCCCTTATGCGAGCGTGACATGTCGTACCTCTGCTTGGCGTTTATCATGTTTTATTTAATCTATCTAGCGGTTTGGTATCCAGTTTGCTCGAACGCAACACCAACTCTTCGTAGGATTCACTGGCTTATGGCTGCATTGGTCCTTATGAAGGCGCTCACAAACTTGATGCCAATTATTCATGGGAATGTCTTCGTCTTCCTTTCTATCTTCCTTTCTATGGCGATGAGTATTAGCCGTTTGTCTTTAATCATTGTGTTGATTAGAAAGTGTAGGCCTTTCGTGAATCCTTTTTTGCATGATGTGGATAGATACGTTTTTACAGTGACAATCCTGCTTCTAATTTTGGGTGAGATAATTAAGATAATCATAGGTGTAACTGGCCCCATTATTATTAAAGACCAGGATGCTTCGGAAGATATGCTTTTTTGGATATATTCTTGGATTCGCTATGAATTGGTATTTTATATATATGATAATCTTATTATGCTTAGGGTGAATATTGATGAAAGGACGACTAAAGTTAGGTACTTCTATTTAGCGGTTATGGTATATTTTTTGGTTTTGCGTATGATAAAAAATCTAAAAAACTTTGGCAATATTGATGAAGAAAATGCTATTTGTTTTCACGTGGTGCATTATACTTTGTTGGAGGAAACATCGAGTGCATTGTTCTACCCGTTGATGCTTAAAATGTTCACGGATCACTTTACTCTTGTCGATGAGATGCTGCGCAAAAATTTAAGGGATTACAATTGTGATGTCCATGATCATGATGAATAGCAGCAGAGGTGGATACTTGGGATGAGGAGTTTGATTATATTGAAATTTGATATTAATTTTTTGTTTTTTTATTTGTTGTCAACTATGGAATTTGATGTTAAAATTGATCATAGCTGGTTCTTTTCCATTTATTTTAAGTTAATTCATGTCTTTGAGTTCTCCTTAAATCTTACACAAAATTGCAAATATTATAGGCACTACTACAAGAAAGGGCATTATCAATGGCCAAAACGTCGGTAATCCGTCGCTATGGACTATACCTACTGAAATGCAACATATCCAAATACGTTGGTATATTCTTGTCGGTAAATGTTTGTGATGGATTTCCGACAACTACTACTAATTAGCGACAAATTTTGCCGTCGGCAATAGTAACGGTTTACTGACGAAATGTGTTTTAACTGATTACCGGTGGAACTGGTTTCCAATGGATTATTGAAGGAACACCTTAACGGATTGCCAACGAAATATGTGTGATGGATTACCAATGGATTTTAGCATTATAAAAAAATTAAATCATGAGAATCCAAAAACATTTATGTACTCAAATCAGAAAAATCTTAAAACATATATCAAATAAATATTTCAAAACCAACATAAAAGTAAATAAGTTCCTATAGACAAACTTTAAGTCTATAAATTTTAAATACATATTCATTAGACATTAAACCAGAATAGTAAAGAAATAGAAACATAGTTACCATTCATTAAACTAATATACATAACATGAAGTTTTTAATGAATCCCAAGCATTTGTGACACAAAATATATGGAGTTTTTTTTTTTTAGATATAATGAGAGGTTTAGAAAACTGGTCTTAAAAAAGAAATGCAACAAAAGATAAGAAAAAAATCTAAAAGCAAAGAATAACAATGTACATTCTATTTTTTCCCCATATAATAGCATTGAACTTTTGGAATTCTTTAACTTTCAAATTGTTTCTTACTTTGGCAGTGTACTTTTAAAAGTTTCCTGTTATAGCAATGTAGACATCAACATAGGTTGTCTATTTGTAAATTATTGTTGATATGGCAAAAGAACTGGTTTTTTTTTTCTATTAAAACTGCTCACATAGGGTTTTGCTGGAAAGACATTTTCTTTTTTCGATTTTCTATTGTTATATCATCAAAATTTTATATATAACTATCCAGATTTTCTGTCACCTAATCTAATAGGATTATTCATATTAAACAAAACTTTTTAAAATCCACTTTTTATTTATTTATTTTTTTTATTTTTAGAATACAACATATTTTAGGAATAGAGAAACGAGTTTGATAACCACTAGAGTGAGAATGGTTTGCCATTTGATTAAATTCAAAACCAAATCGAAAATTTCATTTTTTTTTTTTTTGACTTCAAAATACCCACACATTGGTGTTTTTGGTTTCTCACCTTTTTTTTCTTTTCCGTTTCCTTTTTTTTTCATTGGTTTCTTCATAAAAAGCTGCTTAATTAATAAATAAACACTTAATTTCTTAAAGCGTAATACAAAACGGGACCTATTAGAGCATATGGTATGGGCAACTTGAAGTGGTGTTATGACAAGAAGCAACAAGAAGAGGAGGTGGTGTTCATGGTGTTATAACACCATGTTAAGAGGAGAGAGATAGAGAGAGAGAGAATTTGGACAACCAATAGAAAATCACGTTGCATCTAGTCATGGCCACAACAAGAAGCAACACAACTAGATACAACAAGAAGGGGGGGGGGGGGTGGTGTTGATGCTTCTTAACGGCGTTGAGGATGCTCCACCTCAGCAACAACGAGATGCAACATGACCCATACCTTATACTCTTAGTAAAAACGATAAATACATAATAATTATTATTATTTTTATAAATTGTAATTAATACACGCAAAAAAACCCTACGGCGGTGCTTTCCGGCGGGTTCAAACGCCAGATCGACCCTGTTTTCTCATCCTTTGTTTCATCCCATCTTCTTCTGAATTATGCACATGGATGACGTTCCACAATCATTACGAGTGCAACATTGGAACTAAGAAATCAAATGGGACTTCGGTTAATCCTAATCAGAGGGAAATTGAAAGATTATCTGCCACGTTTTTTGTCACAAATTTCCCAAATAATTTGAATGAAAAGGATCTGTGGAAGATGTTTGATGAAAATGCCAAGGTCGTTGACATATATATTGCCAGGAAGTTGCCCAAGTCAGGGAGAAAGTTTGCGTTTGTGAGATTTCTGAACATAAAAGATGAGAAAAGACTTTAGGTGTCACATGGTGGAGTCTAGGTAGGCAATTATCATCTGTTTGTTTCGTTAGCAAGATTCAAGAGAGACCATAAAAATATTCCTAAACCCACCGGAGATAATCAAGTTCACGAACCTGGAAAAAAGCGTAATAACCATGGAATTGGGGCTGAACAGGTGCATAGAAACTCGTATGCCAACATTCTTAGAGGCTCTAATGGTGAAAAGAAACAGGAGAAAGCAAAAACAACAAAAATAATTTCTCTTGCTGCAGGGGATTTTATGACTATAGATGATTCTACAAAGATTGTCCTGGGCAAGGTAAAAGATGCTTCTATTATCCCTCAGCTTTACAGTTTATGTAGTGTTGAAGGTTTTGAAGAGGTAGAAATTAAATATGTGGGAGGCAGATGGGTGTGGTTCCAGTTTATGGCGTCAACTACATGTGTTCTATTTAAACAACATGGTGGGATTAAGAAATATTTTTATGAGGTGATTCCGGTTTCCAAGTCTTTTGTTGTGAAGGAAAGAGCAGTTTGGCTAGAGATTCAGGGTCTCCCACTCTATGCATGGTCTATTACAGCTTATAAGAAGATTGCAGGGATGTATGGCAAGGTGTTGTTTGCTGATGAGGATCTTGATGAGCAATTAAGTAGTGGGAAGGTTTGTGTGGGTACTTTTCTATTAGACTTCATTAACGATAATCCAATTGTTGATATTGAAGGCAAATCTTATGCTATTTAAGTCCGTGAAATTGCTTTATGGTGCCCGGAAATAAAGAAGCCTAAAGATGATGCTATAAATGATGGGGAAGCTCAAAAAGAAGAGAATGATTTAAGTGACGATGAAGATGCGGAGAGTATAGATGAAGAGTCAGAAAATGAAAAAAACGATGACGGGATGAATCAATTTCTACCTGATGATCCAGTTTTTTATAATGATAAGTTTGTTGGGTTGAAAGAAGGTATTATTGAGAATGTTTCAAGTGACCAAGAGTTTTATAATAAGGATCCAGTTAGTGCATCGGTTAATTCAAAAAAAGTCGATTCCTAACAAAGGAAATGTCATCGATGACGACCGTGGTCTCAATCCGGAAGAGTCAGTACCTTCTCTTGTGGAAAAAACTGAACATGTTGGGGTTATTGGTGTTGGTACAGGCGATGTTGGAGAAAAAGGCGAGGTTGGAGAAAAAGGGGATGGATCTAGGGCGGATAAAAATTGTCATAGTTCAGGGTCTTTATCTGCTCCACCAGGATTCAATGGTGTTAAATTCCACTCGCCAGAACATTCGAAGTCAGTCCCTTCAGAACAAACATTCTCGGCTTCATAAATCAAAGGTAATAATTTAAAATATAAGGAAAAACAAGTTAGTGTGGGGTCTCTTATGGAAGTTATGGAAAACTATATTGAATTTGGTAAAGTCCTGGGTTATGATTTCAAAGGGTGTAATGAAGATTTGGCTCGTATGATTGAAAGGAAAGGAGAACAAATTGGTTTTAAATGAATATTATGTCAATTAATTTATGTGGTGTCAAATGCCACAATAAGAGAGGGTGGATAAAAAACTTTTGCATGGAACACTGTATTAGTGTGTTGGGTATTCAGGAGTCGAAATTAACCAGGTTGGACATGTTCTTGGTGAAATCTCTATGGGGTAATTATCAATTTCAGGTTGCTAGTAGCAGTGCTCAAGGACGTTCTGGAGGTATTCTCACCATTTGGGATCCTGGAGTTTTTTTAGAACATAAAACTTGGTCTACGAGTAACGTTCTAATTATGAAAGGGGAGGTGGTTGCGTCTCGTTCTATTTGTTTTTTGGTTAATGTCTATGCTCCGCAAGGAAGACAAAATAAGAAAATGATTTGGGAATATATTCGTTCTTTTATGTCACATAATAATGGTGAGTATATTGTATTTGGTGACTTCAATGTTGTTCGAAATTCCAATGAAAGAAGTGGGACAGCTTTCTGTCAAAACGAATCTGATGATTTTAACCAGTTTTTGATAAATACAGATCTTCTGGATGTGCATTTAGGAGGGAGGCAGTTCACTAGGGTGGATCGTTTGTGCTTAAAAATGGCCAGACTAGATAGAATCCTTGTTTCTAATGGTGTTATGGATTGGTTTCCCAACATGGTTGGTGTGGTTCTTGATAGACTTTGGTCGGATCATAGCCCCATTGTGTTAAAGAATGAAAAATTCGATTATGGTCCCATACCGTTTAAGATTTTTCATTCTTGGTTTATGCTTGAAGGCTTTGAAGACACAGTTAGGGATGCTTGGTTGAACGATCATATGTCGTTAGAGAATAGTAAGTTCTTGGCTTTCAAAAATAAACTTAAAAATTTAAAAGAGAGATTGAAGGTGTGGCATAAGGGGGTAATTATTAAAAACAATGGTTTGAAAAAAGATCTCTTGTCAAAGCTAGATGATATTGACTCACTGTTGGATGGGGGTAGACATGATGGTGATATTGCCTCAACGAGAATTGATGTGTTAAAACAATTAACGGATTTAGAAAAGATTAAAGGATTGGATGCGGCTCAAAAATTAAAGAAAAAATGGGGTGTAGACGGAGATGAGAATTCAAACTTTTTTCATAGTATGCTTAAAAGAAAAAGAAGAAAGTTGGCTATTTCGGGCTTCCTGGTTGACGGTTCTTGGGTTGTTGATCCTGTTAATGTCAAGGATCAATTTTTATGGTTCTATAAAGAAAAATCAAAAGTTTTTTCGGGTGTTTTTTCCCCTCACCCAAACTCTCGGATCAGACAACTCTCCTCGGGCTTTAAGGAGATGTTGGTTGCGAGGTTTACTGAAGATGAAATTCGCGCTGCTATCTGGTCATGTGGTAGTGATAAGGCTCCTGGTCCCGATGGTTTTTCTTCCCGTTTTATAAAAAAGTTTTGGGATCTCATGAAGACAGATATCTGTAATTTTGTTGATGAATTCTTTGACTCGAGCATGATCCCAAATGGATGCAACTGATCTTTTCTCACTTTGATCCCAAAAAGAGATAGTCCTTTGAACTGCAATGATTATAGACCGATCAGTTTAATTGGTGTGCAATACAAAATTATTGCAAAGCTTCTTGCAAATAGGTTGACACTAGTGATTGATGATCTTGTGAATCCTGTGCAGTCTGCTTTTGTTAAAGGCAGACAAATCCTTGATGGTCCATTGATGGTGAATGAGATTATTCAGTGGTATAAAAGAAAAAAGAAGAACTTAATGATCCTTAAAGTGGATTTTGATAAGGCATACGACTCAGTGAGTTGGGAGTATTTATATCAAATTATGTCTTTCATGGGGTTTGATCATAAATGGATTCAATGGATTAAAGCTTGTTTGGTGTCGTCTCGTACTTCAATTCTTATCAATGGAAGCCCCACAAAGGAGTTCTCTCCTCAGAGAGGCCTTCGTCAAGGTGACCCTTTATCCCCCTTCCTTTTTATTCTCGTCATGGAAGGTCTGCATGTAGCGATAGAGGATGCTGTGAACCAAGGTGTTTTTCGGGGAGCATTGATTGTAGACGGAGGTTTTGTTGTGTCTCATCTTTTCTATGCTGATGACGCATTGTTCTTGGGAGAATGGGATGAACAAAATATTGCAAATCTGGTTACTATTCTCAATTGTTTTTATTTGGTGTCAAGTCTTAAATTGAATCTCTAGAAATCTAACCTTCTTGGTACTGGTGTTTCTTTTCAACAAGTGGAAGAGATGGCTGTTATCACCGGATGTGCGCCTGCAAGTCTACCCTTTTCTTACCTTGGGTTACCAGTAGGTGTAAACATGAATCGTGTTGATAATTGGAATAAGGTCATTCAAAATTTTGATAAGTGTTTGTCAAGTTGGAAGGTGAACTTGATTTCTGTGGGTGGTAGGCTTACATTAATAAAGTCTATCCTTAATAGCATTGGGATTTATTACATGTCTGTATTTAAAATGCCGGATATTGTGAATTCTTATCTTGAGTCTTTACGTTCTCGATTTTTTGGGGGTGGTAGTAGTATGGAGAGAAAGATCTATTGGGTTAAATGGAACCAAGTGTTAAATTCTAAGGATAAAGGTGGACTGGATATCGGCAGTTTAAAAGCTTTTAATTTGGCTTTGCTTTTAAAGTGGAGATGGCGTTTCTACAATGAAAACCACGCACTTTGGGTTAAGGTGATCCATAACATTCATGGAATGCATGGTGGGTTGGGTGAGTCTTCTTCAAAACCAAGAGGAGGGGGGGGGGGGTTTGGTCTAATCTCGTGAAGCTTTATGATAAGCTCGTTTCTCTTAATATTATTCCACACTCTTTTTTTATTAGAAAAGTTGGTAATGGAAGAAATACTCGTTTTTGGAAGGACATTTGGATTGAGAATGTGAGGCTTTCTTCTCATTTTCCTAGACTTTTTGCATTGGAAGAGAAGAAAGATTGTTCGGTGGCAGATAGATGGAATGCAAGTGGTTGGCTTTGGAGATGGAGTCGTCAATTACGTGATAGTGGAAGCACAACCTCTCAGTTCTCGGCCTTGACCAGAGTTGTTTCTCATGTTACGTGCGTCGATCAGGCATATAGTTGGGAGTGGGGTGTTGATCCAGATGAAGGCTTTACTGTTAATAACACTAGAAAATATATTGATTCGATTTTGTTGCAGGAAGGCATGATTCAGACGAGATGGTGTAGGCTAGTGCCTATCAAAGTTAATATTCATCTTTGGAGAACTATTCTTGATAGACTTCCCACTCGTTATAATTTGGCTTGCAGGGGTGTTGACATGTTCTCGGTGCTGTGTCCTTTATGCTCTACTCAGATAGAAGTCTGTAGTCATGTGTTTGTCAATTGTGACGTGGCAAAGGAAATTTGGAATAAAGTGTTTAAGTGGCTTGATCTCCCTTTTCCTTTGTTTGAAAATGTTGCTGAGATATTGGATTGGATGGATGTCATTCCTTCAAGTCTGTCAAAAAAACGAAAGCTTGAAGTTATTATCAATACCACGATCTGGGTTATTTGGGCTTACATGAATAGTGAGGTGTTCAAGACGTACAACATGCGGAAAAATCATATTTTTGAAAGCATTGTCATTCATTCTTTTAATTGGTTCCCTAATAGAAATAGTAAAAATAATATATCTTGGACCTACTGGTTGCGAAATCCCATTTTATATGACTCTTTGTAATTGGTTTTTATTCACTAGCTTTTGATAGTTTTCTTTTTATATGTTCAAAAAAAAAACATAATAATTATTTTTAATTTTAGCATACTTTAAAACAAGACAAGACAAATACATACTTATCATCGTTGGTTTTCCAAGTGACTTGCTTTTTCAGTTTCACACTAACTTTTTTTTTTTTTTTTGAATATTTGTACGGTTTGGTTTATTCTAAAATACAATCAAAAGCACGTTTGAGAGATGTATGTTTAATTTTTAAATATGCACATGACAAAAATAAAAAGCATCTCACATTTATGATCATGAAAAGAAAACACTTTTTTTTAATCTAAATGATATTTCTAAATATTTTAAAAAATAAAAAGGATTTTCTACAAAAATATAAAACATTAACTTTCAATGAAAAAATATAATAGTTTTTCCGAATATTCCTATTCCTATCTACTCTAATAAATAAACAAATAAATCTATTCTAATAAATGAAAGTTTTTTTTTTTTTGCCATTTGTTACACTCATTTAATTTGTCAAATGTCATTTTGTGGTTATTTTGAATTAATTTTTATTCCACATATCATTTTATGGTTTTATAATTTATTAAATTCCACATAGTATTTAATATTTAAATGCAATAATAAATACATATTAATTTCCTTAATGAACTTTTCCTTTTAATTTCAAAAGTACTAAATGAAAGCTTCATTAATTTCCTTTATTTATTTATCTAAATTATTTGTTTAAATTTAGAAAAAAAAACACTTTAATTTTTATAATTCAATATTTTTTTATATTTTTTTTTATAAGTTAAACTTCTCAAATGTTTAGAATTTTATATTTAGTTTTTTTTCTTTTAATTAAACTCATGTAATATATAGGTCTCATATCTAGTATCACAG